CATCATCCGCGGATTCATCACCAGAAGTGAAAGAGAAGTACGAAAAGGCGAAGAAATATTTAAGCTCTCAGATAAAAAACGAGAAAGTGGAAAAAGAATTATTAGAAAAAACCGATCAAATTGTAGTTGAACATGCAACGAAAAAAGTAGTTAAAGAAAAAGCCAATAAAGTAGTTATTGAAAAGGTGCAAGGATCCGTAACTGTAGAAGAGGTTAGTTGTTTATTATTTTATTGAAGAATAAATTTATGTGGTGCTTTTATTACATGCTTATAATATAATTTATGAATTTTTAGGTCGATAAAGTTACAAAAACTCAAAATCAAGATGGCTCGTTTGAGATATCCAAACAAATCACCGACAATATTGGTGTAAAGACTACCGAAAACATCCATTCTTTAGTTCGTATCAAGGATGAACGCGTCAAAAAATTGGATGCCAAAACCTGGAACACGTTCATAACTTTGGCTTACTGCAACAAAGTATTAGGTAAACACGAATCGAAATGGATAGTCCAAAACGAAAAGGCCCGTAAATGGATACATGAACAAGTCAAGGACGAAAAATTAGAAAAAGAAATCCTGGAATCATGCGAAAAGGTCGTGGTCGAAAAGGTTTCCGAAACGAAAAAAGAGCAACCTTCCTTGTTTGGATGGGTTGGGCAAATTTTTGATGACAAAGACACCAAGGTTCAAGTCAAACCTGATACAAAAGGCAAAGGAAAGGAAGTTTTGCCAGAAGAAAAGAAACCCGAAACTGGATTTTTAAGTAGTATCAAATCTTCCGTTATTGAACTTGGAAAAAATGTTGAAGATGCTCTCAGCTTGGACAAAGATGACGACGATGATCATCATGAAAAAGCCGATGCACTCGAGTCGGTTAAATCAACAACAACAAAAGATGTTGTCAAGACTGTAGTATCGAAACAAAAAGTTGACGGTTCTATCGAAGTCAGCGAGACAATTTGTAATCAATTAGGTGCACCTTCGGAAGAAAATGTAGTGAAAACTGTTCAGCAATACGTTACAACTGAAAATCTCAAAGATGCGAAACCTTCCTGGATCACAACAAGCGTAAACATCGCATACCTCAAAAATTTAGCGGATAAACATGAAGGCGAATGGAAGGAGAAATATGATAAAGCCCGCCAGTATTTATCTAAGGAAATTAATAACCCTCAAGTCGAAGAAGAGTTAATAAACGCTTCCGACAAATATGTTGTGGATCAATCAACTAAAAAGGTTATTAAAGATAAAAAGAAAGCTGCTGTCCTCTCCATTCGATCAAAAACCTCCGAAGAAACTGTTAATACGGCTTTATCAACTCAGAAAGATGACGGATCCTTCGAAATTCACGAAACCATCACCAAAGAACTTGATAATGTTTCCCCCAACGATTTAATCAAGAAAGCTCAATCCTATGTCAAAAGTGATAAAATCAAACCCGAAAAATCAGAATCCATCTTCAAAACAGCAATTACTCTCGGATTCTTGACCACGGCCATGGATAATCCAACAAAAGAATTGTCAGATAAATATCAAAAGGCCAGGGCGTATCTTAGTTCTCAAATTGATGATGAAAAATTAGTGGAAGAAATTATTAAATCATCAAGCAAAGTAGTAATTGACAAAAGCTCAGAAAAAGTGCAAAAAGAATCAAAGAATGCAGCTTTGGAAGAAGTAAAGAAATCTACTACCCTTGAAGCCACTCAAGCTATTGTCTCAACACAAAAAGATGATGGTTCCTTTGAAGTTAATGAGAAAATTGCCGACAATCTTTCTACATCATCTGGTTCCCTTGTGACATCCGTAACAACGTACACAAAGAATGAAAATCTCAAAAAACTTAGCCCCTCAATTTGGTCTACCGCTCTATCAATGTAAGTTCCTTAATTTGTGATTTTTTTTTCCCCCCCCCCTTTTCCTCAGGTCTATCATATTCTAATTACTTTTTGAATTTACAACTTTTCTTAGGCAATATTTGAAAAATACGACTAGCCAAGATAAAGGTGATTGGGCAGAGAAATACAACAAGGCCAGGGAATATCTTCGAATTCAGATCAATGACGAAAGTTTAGAGAAAGAGCTTTTGGAAACTTCGGACAAATATGTTTTAGATAGTGTTACACGTAAATTAGTTAAACAGAAAGAAGAAGAAACTCTTAGAGTCAGGAAACTTGTATTTGACGAAGAAACGAAAAAAGCATCTTATTCATATTTAATTGAAACATTCAATGTTGATGATGTTCGTTCGTTATGCTCATCTCAAGGAAAAGATGGATCAATCACATTCCACAAATTAATCACTGAACGACTTAAAATCAAAGATACCGACGATTCAATTACGAGTATCAAGAACTTTGTTAGTAATCAACGTCTAAGAGCGTGCAAGGATTCCGTCTTTGAAACCGCACTCACGATCTATATCTTAAGGTATGTTCTAATTGAATACAAAAATGAATGGAGTACCGTCGGTGAACGTGCTGATAAATGGTTGAAAGAACAACTTGGTGGCGATAAAAAATTAGAAGCGGAACTATTATCTGCATGTGAACAATACTTGATCGAAGAAACCATCACACACTTGAAAAGTGTAGTCGTCTTACAAGATGTAGAAACCGTTCAAAAGATTACTCTTGAAGTCTCTGATGAAACTCGTCAAACGGTCTTCAAATATCTCCAATCACGTGCCATAATTGATGATGCTCACGTGCTCACCAAATCTCAACACAGCGATGGTTCTTTCGTTTTACATCAATCAATTCTCGAGCATCTTCAAATTCCATCAATCGACGAATCCATTAAATGCCTTGTTCGTTATGTTGGTCAAAAAAGCCTAAAGGAATGTGATAAAACAATTTGGCAAACCGCATTTGTTATCACGTATCTCAGAATCGTGTTGGTTGAATACGAGAAGGAATGGAGCCCCGCTTGTGAAAGAGCGAAGAAATGTGTTAGTAAAAAACTCGGCAACAGTAAATTGGAGGAAGAATTATACAAAGCTTGCGATCAATACCTGATTGAAAAGGCTGTAGAGTTATATAATAGTCCAAGCTTAGAGGTTAGCGTTATTAGGCTCGAAGTAGATGAAGAAACAAGAACTACCGTTTATAATGGACTTAGATCTCATGCTAAAGTTGAGGATGCTCGTGCTCTATGCAAATCTCAAACAAAGAACCATTCTTTCATCCTTCACAAAATAATTTCTGATCAACTCGAGATAAAATCAACCGATGATGCCGTCGATTCTCTTAAATCATATGTTGGAAGTTTACGTTTGAGACGTCTCGATAATAGCATTTGGATCTCTGCATTTGTTGTTACCTATTTCAAGTTAGTTTTGGTTGAACACGAATCCGAATGGAGCGCAGTTTGCGATCGAACCAAATCCTGGATCAGCCAACAAGTCCATAATGCGGAATTAGAAACTGAATTATACTCCGCTTGTGAACAATATTTGATCAAACAAGGCTGCCAATTTCTCAATAACCAAACCACTATCACCTCAGAAGTAACAAAGAGAACGTCTCACTCCGTTGCAATTGGATCCGATGGTGGTGTTCTAACGTCAAAAAACGCTTATCTTAACTCCGAATTGATTGTAGTTGGAGCAGCTGCTCGTGCAAAATGCAAAGTTAAGCTTGAAAGTGCTCATAATAAGACCTTAGAAGATGTCTCTAAAGCAACCGATTTGGCTGTCAAGTACGCCGAAGACGAAGTGAATAGACTATTTGGTGTCAACGTTACTCATAGCAATAAAGACGACGTCTTACTCCGCGCTAGAAGAGCCACTAAATTTTTGATGGATGAATACTACAAACCGGGCGAAGATTGTTGTTAATTTTTAATATATTTTTGGTGTTTTTTTTTAAAATCAAGTAGTATAAAATTTTATTTTTCTTTTTTCTTTAGTATTATTAGTATTTAGTATTTAGTCCTAAATTGTTCTATATTTGAAAAAATTTGATATATTTTTATATATTATAATTATATAAGAAAAACAAAAAAAAAAAAAAAAAAAAAAAAAAAAAGAATTGTTATATTTTATATTTATTAAATAAAGAGAAGTTATTGTTTATTAAATAAATTCTTCATTGATTATTGTATATTTTTTAAATACAAGGAAAAATAATACGTTTTTTTTTGTTTTTGTACAATTTTTACGTACTTCACGTTAAAAGTAAAATTGATTGATCTCTCTATTTGCTTTTATTTCGAATTAATTCTATAAATATAAAAATATAAAAAATACATGCGCGGCCCAGTAACATGCTTAAAAATGTCATAATTCTAGGATTATTATTTAAAGATATTTCAAAGTATTAAGGTTAATATTCTTCTATCGACGTCAAAAGAGATTTGGGTAGGGAAGTTAATGATCCAGTCGTAGCAAAAGAACATTGCGTAATTGAATTAACGGATCTTATATTATTCCTTTGATTTACTACTACCTTATCACAAAACAATTCATTCTTTAAGAAAACAAAAGTTTTTGCAACGCTCCCTAGATTAAGCGACACGATAAATAAGATGTAAATCCAAACTTCATTGACATTATACAAAAAACATAAACCATAAATTATAATAGGGGCGTATTGGATCAATTGTATAAATATGCAACCAGTTATTTTACGTGTCGCTCTCGTTATGTTTGAAGCGATCGTCTGTTGTGATGCAGTTGGAATAGATTGAATTGACACGGTCGTAGTAAAGAAACTTGGAGGTCTCAAATCAAAACCGTCATCATTTGTCATGAAAGAAGGTCTATAACGTTTTATTGGACACCATTCGGATTTGAATAACTTTGAAGCGAGCATCAATTCTACCCCATGAATGGTTTTGATTACCTTTAAATAACAAAATGTTGTAGTCATTATTACGATGTAAGCAAGTATTACCAAGCAGATCATCGATATTTTACTACTAAAATTGTTCATCCTATTCATATAACACCTATTAAAAAGAGATTAATCATCAATAAAAAAAAAAAAAAATGATATTTCCTTAAAAAAAAGGGGAGGGAGGAAAAAATTCATACCAATAATTATCTTTACCGTAACCTTCAAATACAGCGATTATTATGCTAAATGGTAAACTGAACGCAAATATAGATGTGAATAAAATCCAATCGTAAGTTCCAAAATTGACAATGATTCTTTTACATATATGTAAGTAAGTTTTAATTGCGACGATAGTCATTAGAATCATGTTCATGGTGATTAATAACGACATGTTAAACCCAATAATTTGACACAAATTCCCGGAACTTAATAATTCATAATTCATCATTGGATAAAACAGATTGGGAATCGTTATAAGAGCGATTAATAAGTCCATTATTGACATGTAAAATGGAAATTTTTGTGTGGGGGATAACTTTTTCGACTTTTTCCACGTATTAAAAGTAACTATCATTATCGTTGAACACCCTACGATGTTCGCGAATGATGTTATGATGCCGGCCACAAAAAATATTCCATTTCCTATCGAATCATTTAATATTTCCCCATTCGTGGAAGATGATAAAACGGTATTATTGGAAATTACTGCGGCATTAGCGTTAACTATTGCCAGAACTAGAAATGGTAATGGTAGTAATGAACGCGTAACCATACTAGTCATTATATAAATGATAAATGGGCAAATGAATGAAATAAAGAAAGTGAGGGAGGGGATATGGGAAAGGAAAAAAAGAATTGATTCTATATTACATGAAATCCGAGAAAATGAAACAAAATATTTTTTCATACGAGGTTATGTTTATATATATATAGAATTTTTTTATTATTGTTTATTATATATATATATATTTTTCAAGACGATTATCATTTGGAGATTCACTTTATGCATTTCTAGAAGGTTTTATTCTCGCGGCAAAAAAAGAAAATTGAATGTCTCGACATTATTATTTTCCAATGTAAATAAATGATATCAAAACTATTTTTAACCACCCGGAAAATCTCAATTTATTAAATGGTAATTATTTAATTATTTTAAATTATTTTTTTATTGTGAGGGGATCTTATTCATATTTGGATATCTCTCGATAATCAAAGCTTTTGTCAAGGCAACCAATTACAGTTCATTGACTTATTAGAGATTATAAAGACGTTAAGATTAGTAAGTAAAATAACCAAAATATGATAATTAGAAATATTATAAATTTTATTTCCTTTAGAACGAACACAGTGATTATTAATTAGAGAATTTGTTATTACCTTTTATTTTTAAAAAAAACAAAAAAAGGAATAAAAAAACTTTTCGTCCACAAATAATCATTATTTTAAAATTATAATTAACCAAGGATGATCAAAAAAAACGCACAGATTAAATTAATGAAAGTCTATATTGAACAATGCTTGGAAAACTATTAAGCTCAACTCCCCGTAAAACTACAATAGCTGAAATTCCCAATGAAATCACGGACATTATGATACTTGACTATAAACCTTTAAAATGATTTGTTTCAAAATTTTTATTTAGTTATTGTTTTGATTGGTCGATTATAGTCATGTGAAATCATTTCAAGAAAATTCTGCATTAAATAAATGCGGGATAAGTTAGTTTGAAAGCAAAAAAATCTCGTCAAATAAAAAAAATATTGGATATTAACAAAATGTATTTCTTCTTGAAAGCTTTCTAATGAAAATAATCATCATCTTGCACTGTATCAGTATCAACTTTTGTCACGATCCCTGATGGTTGAATATTTAAATAAATTCAAAGCTTTTATTACACGTTTCTCTTGAAGAAAGAAACACTTTTTTTTGATGAGATAAAAATACTCAAAGATTATTACAACAATAAATGAAATTTGTTCTAAATGAAAATATATATATATATATAAGGATCTATGATGATAACTTTAATAATGTTAGCTAACAAATATCTAAGTTCAATTATGACTAAAGAATTACAAAGTGAGAAATAATGCTTATGATGAATATGACGATTAATTATTAATATTTGCAATTTTAGAATTCACATTTGTAAGTTTATTCCGTTTCTTTTGATGGTGATTTGGTTGGAGGACAGCATGAATTTTCGGCACAAGAAGGATCCAAGTTACAACGGAGCAGACAGGCTGTTTCATGATCACCCTATAAATTTTCATCAAAATAAGTTGATTAAAATCAAACAAATCCCAACCATATTAGAACTAAAAAAGATACGAGATTTTAAAATTCTTACTTCATTCGCGACCAATTGCACTTTATCCGAACCTTCAACAACCATGATTGTTTCACCACTATCATTTCCATTTAATCCAATTTTAACATATTCCGGTTGTATCGTTGATGAATGAATTCCATGAACATGAAGTATTTTTCTTATGTTAGCCGCTATCTCCGCATAATCAGCTGATGGTGCTAATAACACGTGGACCGATCCGATTCGTTTTGTATCAGAAAGTTGCCATATATGTAATTCATGAACGGATAAAACTCCAGGTAACTTTATCATGTATAAAAAAAATATGAGTCAAACGAACAAAAATCATTGTAAATAAGAATTATCTGTAACCAACCTTTTTAATTTCTGATCGTACATCCTCGATCGGTATTCCCGAGGGAACGCCTTGTAAAAGGATAAATGACGCGCTTTTCACTATAAAAAAAGAATTGTAATTTTTTAACAATTGCTCAACTAAACAAAAAAAAGTTTAAAAAGTAAACTTAAAAATGCTATAAATCAATTAATTACCCAAAGGCACCGCGGATGAGAAAATAATAACCGTTAGTATTAAACTGAAGGAGAATATAATGTTAGATACTTTATTTTATATTATTTTTTTTTTTTAAAAAAAAAAAAATTATTAAAAATTTAAAAAATTAAAAAAAAAAATTAAATTTTAAAAATTTAAAATTTTTTTTTACCTGACAATAGGATCCGCGTAAAATCTCCATGAGAAATTGGTTAAATATATGAATAACCCGGTGGCAATAACCCCGATGTTACCTAAAGCATCACCCAATACATGAAGAAATACACCTTGCATATTAAGACTTTTATTTCCATGACTGTGACCTTGTTTGCGTTGATTATGTTGATCATGATGATCATGCGATTGATCGCTTGTACTCGTTCGTGATTCAGGAATTTTTTGTTTGCTAACTGCACCATATTGTGAGGAGGTACTATTTTCGAGTTTTGAAGACGATTGTGGTTCGATTGAGTTGTCATTTGATGATGATAAACATTCATCAGATAATTCCGCTTCTAAAGCCGTTTCTTGCGCAGCTAGGACTATAGACTGGCGTGAAGCAACAGGGTGTACAAGTATTTCATCTATGGGCGCAATATTATCATCGGTAGGATTTGCATCAGATGATTTCGATGTTTTCTTTTCATGATGATGTGAATGACTATGACCATGAGAATGTTCTACAAAAAGAATTTAAGGAAAATAAACACATGATACGAGGAGTGATAATGGAAATGATTCGATTTAATTACCATGAAATAATAATAATCCAATTAGATTCGAAAATAATCCTGCACATCCAACTCCAAATATGATTTCTGGCCTTTTAATTTCTAATTATGATAAAATCAAGTTTTTAGTTCAAAAATTATTTTTAAAATGATATCATTTTCAAATTTTTTAAACTAACCTGGTACATCAAATAATCTTTCGATTGCTTCAATTAAAATACTAAAACACAAAGCCATTAAAAATACTCCATTTACGAGAGCACCTAAAACTTCTGCCCGTTGCCAACCATATGAATATTTTGAGGAAAAGGTTGTTTTGGAAGCAAGCTATATACATATACATTATAAAGAAAACAATTAAAGATATTATAATTATTATTTCCCAAAAATAATTACCGATTTAATTAATTAATACCTTTAAAGCGTACAACGCGACTATTAAACTTAAAATATCATTTAACATATGAAATGAATCAGCTATTATTGCTAAGGATTTGATCCAATATCCGATAACAATTTCTATGATAAAAAACGAAACATCAAGCACAAGCAGTATCTTTATACGGGTTTGTCGTGATAATGCCATTTTTTTATTATCTTATAGAATAGGAGAGAAAAAAGTTTAAATTTCAAGATACAATTAAAATTGGTAAATATTTATATTCAAAAAATATCGGAACAAGATCGGATGTCCCCTAATATAATGGATTTAATAGGAAGAAGTCGGAATCATCACTGAGAAGGTCGTTTTTCTACTAAATAACGTGATGAATTGGCGCAAACATATGAAGTAAAAAAGATTTCATTTTTTAAAAAGGAAGAAATTTATTATCAAAATAACTTTGTATTAGTAAATGCATTCGCACGTGATTCAATTTGTTACTATTTAAACTAACAAGGGAAGTGGCGTTTGTAATTAAAGGTTTTACTTTCTTTAAATTTTTTTTTTTGTTCAACAAGCTTGCATAAAAAGGATTTTTGTGATTGTCAAATACAAAACCAGAACATCAATTCAAAAAAGCTAGAAAAGGAAAAATTCAATTACAATGCGTATTTAAAAAAAGGTGACATGTGCTAAAATAAATGCCTATTTCGTATTGGATCGTTTATAAATAAATAGCATTTAATGGGGTTGGATCTTCAAAAACGACGCGTCAATTCCTTCGACGTATTAAATGTAGCAAAACAACACTATGTTTTTGTTCCACGTCTTCGTATCGAATAAATTCTTTGAATAATTTTTAAGACAGGTTAATTCTTTAATTAAAATAAGTGCTTGGAACTGAGTATTCAAGTACAACTAATTAATCTCATCTTGAAGCCTTTTCATTATCAGAATCACTTTCTATTTTCTGATTCCGCAGTAGATGAATTAATACAAACATTTTGTGTCGATCAAATATTTATTACATCATTAAAATTGCATGATGGCCTGATACACAATCAGACAGATACCCCCAAAATTATGGTTCTTTTGGAACAAAAAAAAGATGGAAAAAAAAATATCAAAAAATTAGTTTAATATACTGAAATTTGTTTTTCATTCTTTGGTTTGACTGACTAGACTCCTTTTCTATGAAAAAGAATCCATATTCATTTACTTTACTTTGATACCAAATTCATTATATATTTTTTTTAAATAAATTTATAAAAACCTTAAATATTTTAAAATTTTACATTTTTAGTATTACAATAAAAAATTCTGGTAAAATTATTTAAATATTTTAATTTAATCCATTTAAATCATTATTATCATTGATATTCAAATTCAAATCATTAAAGTTTGATTGGTTATATTGTGTTTCAGAAATATTCTGCATTTCTGTCAACTCACCCGCAGATAGTGTTGGGATGTTTATACATTATATCAATGATCATGAAGCATTTAAAGTAACGAATTTATCGAAGATGCTTGGAATAATAATACCAAACATTCTCTTTAAGACAATCCAAATTCTCTTCGCATAATTCTTTTCTGAAGTTGATTCCGCTCTTGCCGTTTGATAAAATTATTGGGATCTCTCTATGAAAGAGTTCATTATATTTTTTCGTGCTTATGCCTTGTACTTCGATTGCAAATCCATATTGTGGATGAAATATATCAGGTTGGATATCCTTGTATCATTAAAAAATCTGTTCTGCGATTTAGCGAAGGACAACCAAGATAGTTTGTTTATATTAGGATTCTGCATCCATCTAAATTGGCACCCAGACTTAATCCTCATAAAATCAAATATACAGTATATATATACACATATATAAAAAAAAAAATGTAGAAGCAAGCATGTATTGAAATGAAGTTGTTGTTTGCGTTAAAGTTAGTGAGTGATAAAAATTAATTTTAAAATTCCAAGTTAAAATTTCAAAGAATATTTCAATAAGATAATTAAATTTTATGGTATGAAGACAAATTTAAATTTTTATGTGAAAATTATTTAACACCTGAAAGTTTAAATTGAAATTAAGATTTATTTTGATATTATACGATATTTTGTTTTTCCATCTTTTCAAAGAAAATTCCTAATTTCAAGAAACCATATGTTATTTTTGGAAGAACAATTCGTCTTGACAAAATCGTTATCGATCAAAAGTTGTAAACTCATATTAAATGATAATATAAGAAGTCTAAAAGCAATAGGAATTGTGTGATACCGCGCTACAAAAAAATAATTGCCTAAAAAAATTATATGATATCAAGTGGAAATTGCCGAAGAAAAAAGTAATTACTGAGCAAGTTTCGATAATAAATATCGTGAAATTTTTTCTTTTGCTTCTCCTTTATCAAAAGAATATCGAGAAGTAAACCTACGGGCTCTTCATATTAGAATAAACCAACGCTTAACATGACATTCATCGCTGGTAGAACCCGCAGTTAACATCGAATATGCTATTAAAAAATCAAAGTAAATCATATGATCCGTAACCGTTTTTTTCCATATGGGGTTTTTATTTCCCTTAACAAATTTCGCTCCGATCGGAATTAATTTAAAATTGCTATTCTAATTTGGGGGTAAACTTCATATGGCATCCCTTTTTATAATAACATGATCACGGATAATATTTGTTTTTAACTGTTGATTTGAAAAATGAATTTAATTGTGGCGCAGCGATTTTTTCGATTAGATAGATTAAAAAAAAACCCACCGAATATAATTCTTGTTTGAAATAAGTTCTTCACAGGAGAATGAATATCTGCATGGAATTAGCTCTTCCAAGGAGTTTTATTCTCAAATGTTTGATTTTGCTTTTTTGCTTTTTCAAGCGTTAATAAATTCCTTAAAAAGAAGACTATTTCTTCACTCCTAATACATGATTCACAACCAATGGAAAGTTGAAAGCCGTGTTTATGTTTAATAATCAAATTTCATAAAGAACCTACTTAGCAAAGCAGTTACGGTAGCACTGTACAACAATTCTGTACAATATAAAAGTTTTGTTCATATTGTGTTTCAAAAATTAGTGAATAAAAATGCAATTCATTATTATTATTTATTATTTCTATAAAAAGATTTGGATATAAACGAAGGATTCTGCATAGAATAATTTACCACTGCATATGAATAAAAATCTCGAATCAAATTTTTTTTTTCAAGACAATCAATCGTATTGTTTTCAACAAATTATTTGATTATATTGCATTCACACAAAATATATGTTTATCATGATGAAATAAGGTATAAAACTACTGTTTTCTAGAGATTTTTTTTATTCTCACAATTTTTTTTTAAAAAAAAAAAAAAATTGCTTTTGTAAAATAATGCCATCCTTTATTATAAAAAGAACCAATCAAGCATATTCATTATTATCTCAAAAAATTATTCTCCAAGAAAACTGCAATTCTTGCACAAAAAAGGAAAATTGTCAGATTTTCAACAAATCAAAATCTTATAAAAAAAATTTCGAAATTTTTCGAAATTACGAAATCTTCCATAGAAGTTGATTTTCGCCCAGGAACAATGTTGGAAGATCTGGCACAGGAACCAGGTTATCCTGGCCATTGGAAATGGCCAAAAAGCCTTCTGGAAATGGCCAGAAAGTATCCTTCCCGGGCCTCCATTTCTCTTTCACCACGAATTCGTATATTAAAACCCTAAAGTTATATTAGTTATATTAGTTATATAGTATTTTATTAATTATATTCTTAATATTTTATATTTTTTTACATCTGTTACATTTTATTAGTATTTTATTTTATATGTATTTTCTTCTAGTTATAACAATAAAATCCCGTTATCTATCTTAATGTTTCCTTTAATAACACTTTCATATTAAAACTGTTAACAAAATATGCCATTAAATTAGTATTTATAAAATTGTAAAAATGAACGTGAAAAAAAAATATTATATTTTTTATAACAAAAGTTGACCATGTCCCATGACAACACTGCTTCCAGGAAGAAAATATAATTACAATAAAATATATACAAATAGTTTAAAAATGAGACAAATGAAAAATAATATACTATAAAATAACAATGTTCTACAAAAATTTTCTTTATCCGTTAGGATATCAAATTTTGACGATACCAATTTTTCCTTCTGGTTGCCTAGTGAGCACCCCTTCTAATCTCGGAACAATAATCATACAACATAGATTAAATTCATCCTCAAAACCTACGGAATCCCATTCCTCCGTCGTATGAACCTCTGTAAATAAAATAAAAATAAAAAAAATATATAAGCCATTTGTGTCATTACCATCAAAGAACCAAGAAGAACGTTCACAGTCGTGTATGGATGTGGTTACAATGAGCTTTTAATTCGTTGATTCGTGAATCGAATTCATCATAAATCCCCCAGGGATGAAGACCAGTGCAAGGGACATCAGAAACGGAAAAGAACGTTCACGGCCGAAACTGTGACCACGAAGAGCTTTCAATTCCCGACATTTTACACTATTGGCAGCGTACTTCAAATACACAACGACTCGACAAATAACTCAATGAGAGATACTCACCCTGTCCATTTACCATTACTTGTAACGAGTTCCATTCAAAGTCCCTTCCCGAAACCGATAGCGGATGATGATATTTTTTAGAATTTTTAAATAAAAAATGTTTTCAAGATAATTTCTTTGTTTGATTTAATCTTCAATTTTTTCAATGATAAGATACGTGTATATAGGCGCTTTGCAGTAGAAAAGTAGAAAGGGAGGAAACTCAAAAAAAAAACTTTTTTTTAGTTGTATCCTCCTCATATATAGATTTTTATATCGTTCACAGATCAGCATTCGCGGACCTTAATTGTGATAAAAAGCAATACAAGTCTAAATTTGCCTATGAAAAAACCATTTTGTAGACCAAACTTTGCTCAATAATATCAGATATCAGATATCAGAAATTGAATTATAATATATTTATAACATAGCGTGGTTCAAATTTTAATTATTTTAATAAATGAATGGTTAAATTTTATTGAAGTTATTGGGGTTCATAAATATCTTTTAATATTTTGTAATATTTTCTTCTACGTGACCAAAACCATTAATCAATGCCTAAAAGTATTGCTTCAATAGCGCCATTTATCTGAAAATGGTCTGATGCTCCTGACTACTGTTTTTATGCAAGAAAGTATAGTCGCGAAGTT